TTTAACAATTATTTAATCATTAATGAGGTGTATATGTCGACAGGAGTGTGTGCGTGTGGGGGGGGGTGTTAATGTGGTATGGTTTTCAACGTAAAAGGTAACGTAACATAATTTGTGGTAGAGAGTGGGTAGACTTTAATCGTTTTGCCTGATTGTTTTTGAAAAGCTTCATCTTCATTGCTTTGACGAACCGCAACAATTTCTTTAGCTTACCATAGCGTGCAGTTCTATTCACACTAATGTTGCACAAAAACATCCACACAAAAACACACACACATGTACACCAGTTAAAAAAAAGCCAGAGAAAAAAAAGCCAAAAAAAAAAACCAACAAAAAATCAAAGTTATCTCCCTTTATTAACTCCCACACTGCCCCAAGAGAGGTTGGACAAAAAATTATCACAGTAATGGTGGACATTAATTTCATTAATTAACATCATTAATTGACATTAGCCTAATCATTGACATTATTAATTAACAAACATAACTATTATTACCATCATTATTCAATGGCATCAATTAAAATCAATGATTTAACATCACTGAAAACTACCTTATTTTAATATTTAAACATGCATTTCCATTCTCAACTCACACGTTTTCATTTAATAGCAAAACCAATTTGACTCACCAAATCTGATTCCATTACAGGTTGAATGACCAAGCGTCATTTATTTTCATATACCAGGGGTCGGCAACCTTTTGAAGCGGAAGAGCCAAAAGTTACAATTTTCAAAATTTCCCTGGTTTTTAAGCCACTAACATATTTTTTATTTCAAATATTTTATTTTTTTATTAAGATTATTAGTATTTTTTCAAGGAGCTGGAGAGCCGCATCTTGATATCAAAAGAGCCGCAGGTAGCCTACCCCTGTCATATACAGTTCATTTGAAAGTTATTAATATTTCCAAACAAAACATTTTGTTTATTTAATTTGCAGTCCTTTAAAGAGTTTTATTCATTTCCAAAAATATATCAATTTAAATGACCAAGAGAGTGAAATGTGGGGTAACATTATGTCTTTCATGCACTAACTAAAATAATTTAAACACTGTCTATAAGAGCACACAGAGGTCATTAACCTCTGCGTCAAGTTCACCTGGTATACAACACCTGCAGAAAAAACAGAGAGCCAGGTAAGTAAAGGGTAATACAAAAACCAGTTACAGCAACAGGCTGCAAACCTCCATACAAATACATTAGTACAAAATATAATGTAGAATAATACTTCTAAAATAACTTTATTGAAGAGATATCTTTACTGTTAAAAATATTTTTAAAATGTTTTTAACCTTATGTGTCAACATAAACATGTTCACATAGCTTATGTTATATGTTATATGACTATGGATTAGACTACTTTGGTAGCTTATATGTATTATATTATATAGATGAGCTTCAGTAAATTGGAACATAGAATACTACAATTTTTATGATAATTAATAATTTAATTTTTTAAAATATTGCTGTTATTTGATAAAATTAAATTAAGCCAACATTTTTAAAATAAAATATTTTTTTTAAATTTAAATGTTGAAACAGTTAAAAATCCTCACTTTAAAAGCACTTAAAATAACTTACTAATGAGAGCATCAAGGGTATGATGGGTAGGGCGGACAGGGCAGGGGGGTATAGGTAGATCTAGGAGGATGTACTTGAACCCCTCTAAAAGATTCAGGTTAACGTACTCATATATCCCTCCCCAGTGATACTTGGAGCCACCAAAATAGAGGTTACGTCAGTGGTGACGAAAGATTTCAAAGAGTCACCTAACTACAGATGAGTGTAAGTCAGGGGTTTACCCCCTCAATGTTGCAATATAACAACAACAAAAAAACTTTTTTTTCTAAGGCATCAGGAGGTCAGCAGGAAAAATAAATTTAAATTTACATATAAAACATACGGAGCACAAATATCTTACAGCACCAACGTTCCAGTGACCAGCCACAGACTCTCTAGTCCATTACCAGCCACATGTCAAACACAACCCTTTATCAACACACCAGACAGCCGCATCTCAACATTTAAATTATAAAACTCATGACAATAAAACTGTAACACCTTATTTTCACTCATCCCTAATATTTGCTTCCCATTATTAAACAATCAATAAAACAGAATATGTTGAAAACATAAAAAATCATTCTATAATAAAAAAAGTTTTGAATGAAGGCTTAAGTGGCAGCTTTGCAACAAATGAATCATTGGTCAGAACAATTTTATAAAATATGGTCTAAATAATAAAGTAAATGTTGCATGGGTTAAATAAAACAATATAAATATAATTTTTTTTTAAAGTATAAGCATATATTGAATGATAAAGAATAAAAAGCAGTATCGCCACATAACAAAATCATTAAAGTTTAGTCCCCAATATTACCCCTGCGGAAATGATGCCATCCCAGTGTTCAATATACAGTGATTGTTTCTCTTGTGTACAATAATCCTGCTTCAAACATTATGTGAATATTTGTGATAACAATACATGGCAATTAAACTGAACAGTACTTTACTAACTGTAATCACTTAAATTTCATGTGTACGCAATTAAAAATTGGTAATATTTCAAGGTATGTCAAAATGGGCATAAAAAACATGACTTCTAAAACATAAACCACAGCAAGGCTTAGTCCAAATGCTGACTGACCTGAATTTATTGTACACATTAGTACACTTAGTCCCTTCAAGTTTTTCTTGTACACACACACACAGCCACTTCAGAACCTAGAAAAGAAATCAAACCTACACCTCTAAACTCATAGCCTTGCCCTTGACCATACCAACAACTATACAATATTTGTGTTTAAATCTTATTCAACCAACCAAATAAATGTTTGGTGAAACCGCACAACTTTCAATGTATGCACCAGATCTCTCATCCAACAACCTATCAATGAAACAGTGAATAGCTGGCTTTAAGTAAGACAGGTTCAGATAACCTACTGTTCCTAGCTGGTTAACACTGATTGCTTCCCTTTGAAGAGCTCTCTCAAGAATGGGATTATAAAAAAACATTTATATAAAAAATAAATCAGTCAACCAATTACTACAGACAATTCATTAGATTTAGTTAATGAAAACAAATTCATTGAGATATGTTTAAGTGTGGTTATTTTCAGCTATGTATAATGTATAACAACAAGATTGCATTCAATAGTCAACATTAAATTATGGATAAATATGTCAATATCCAGTTCTGGATCAACAGGGCAATATCCATTTGTGGATCAGCAGGCAGATCAACATCAATGTGTCAAGAAGCAGATTCTTATGCATAGGAAGTGCCAGCTATTTTAACTGGTGGTGGTTTTAAGGAAGCTGAGGTGGGGGGGGGGGGGGCTCTTAGGGCAACTGGGGGATAGGGGGGGTATGGAAGCTGTTGGGCTATAGGGCAGCTGTGGGTATGGAAGCTGTAGAGGGCCTAAGGTCAGCTGATGAGTCATTAAAGCTGTCTTAAGGGGGATGGGGGGGGGAAGGGGGGCGATATGGAAGCTGTTAGGCCATAGGACAGCTGTGGGTATGGAAACTGTAGAGGACCTAAGGGCAGCTGATGAGGTCATTAAAGCTGTCTTAAGGGGGATGGGGGGGGAAGGGGGGGCGGTATGGAAGCTGTTGGGCCAAAGGGCAGCTGTGGGTGTATGGAAACTGTAGAGGGCCAGGGGTCAATAAAGCTATTGTCTTAAGGCAGCTGGTGGGGGTCCCCAAGCTATTGTCTTAAGGCAGTTGGTGGGGGTCCCCAAGCTATTGTCTTAAGGCAGTTGGTGGGGGTCCCCAAGCTATTGTCTTAAGGCAGTTGGTGGGGGTCCCCAAGCTATTGTCTTAAGGCAGTTGGTGGGGGTCCCCAAGCTATTGTCTTAAGGCAGTTGGTGGGGGTCCCCAAGCTATTGTCTTAAGGCAGCTGGTGGGGGTCCCCAAGCTATTGTCTTAAGGCAGTTGGTGGGGGTCCCCAAGCTATTGTCTTAAGGCAGTTGGTGGGGGTCCCCAAGCTATTGTCTTAAGGCAGCTGGTGGGGGTCCCCAAGCTATTGTCTTAAGGCAGTTGGTGGGTGGTCCCCAAGCTATTGTCTTAAGGCAGTTGGTGGGGGTCCCCAAGCTATTGTCTTAAGGCAGGCAACTGGTGGGGGTCCCCCAGCTATTGTCTTAAGGCAATTAGTGGGGGTCCCCAAGCTATTGTCTTAAGGCAGCTGGTGGGGGTCCCCAAGCTATTGTCTTAAGGCAGTTGGTGGGGGTCCCCAAGCTATTGTCTTAAGGCAGCTGGTGGGGGTCCCCAAGCTATTGTCTTAAGGCAGGTGGTGGGGGTCCCCAAGCTATTGTCTTAAGGCAGCTGGTGGGGGTCCCCCAGCTATTGTCTTAAGGCAGCTGGTGGGGGTCCCCCAGCTATTGTCTTAAGGCAGCTGGTGGGGGTCCCCCAGCTATTGTCTTAAGGCAGCTGGTGGGGGTCCCCAAGCTATTGTCTTAAGGCAGTTGGTGGGGGTCCCCAAGCTATTGTCTTAAGGCAGCTGGTGGGGGTCCCCCAGCTATTGTCTTAAGGCAGCTGGTGGGGGTCCCCCAGCTATTGTCTTAAGGCAGCTGGTGGGGGTCCCCCAGCTATTGTCTTAAGGCAGCTGGTGGGGGTCCCCAAGCTATTGTCTTAAGGCAGCTGGTGGGGGTCCCCCAGCTATTGTCTTAAGGCAGCTGGTGGGGGTCCCCCAGCTATTGTCTTAAGGCAGCTGGTGGGGGTCCCCAAGCTATTGTCTTAAGGCAGTTGGTGAGGGTCCCCAAGCTATTGTCTTAAGGCAGCTGGTGAGGGTCCCCAAGCTATTGTCTTAAGGCAGCTGGTGGGGGTCCCCCAGCTATTGTCTTAAGGCAGCTGGTGGGGGTCCCCAAGCTATTGTCTTAAGGCAGCTGGTGGGGGTCCCCCAGCTATTGTCTTAAGGCAGCTGGTGGGGGTCCCCCAGCTATTGTCTTAAGGCAGCTGGTGGGGGTCCCCAAGCTATTGTCTTAAGGCAGCTGGTGAGGGTCCCCAAGCTATTGTCTTAAGGCAGCTGGTGAGGGTCCCCAAGCTATTGTCTTAAGGCAGCTGGTGGGGGTCCCCCTCCTTCTCCAGCACGGTGGTCAGCCCAGTCCCCGCCTCCACAGTCAGCAGCTTCCTGATGACCTGGTCCAGGCCCACGTAGCTGAGTGTGTTCAGGTCTCTCTGGGACACCTTGGGCTGGAACACGTAGAAGACCACGCCCAACACCAGGGCTGTGAAGATCAGGAACTCTACCCTGGTCAGCTGCTCGTGGGCGTTCACTGAAACAAGGTCACAGGTCATTGAAACAAGGTCACAGTTCATTGAGACAAGGTCACACAACTAATTCATTAAAACAAGGTCACACAATTAGTTTCCTAAAACTAGGTCACACGGTTCACTAAAACAAGCTCACAAAGTTCACTGAAACAAGGTCACAAAGTTCACTAAAACAATGTCACACAATTAGTTCACTGAAACAATGTAACAAAGTTCAGTAAAACAAGGTCACACAGTTCACTGAAACAAGGTCATGAAGTTCACTGAAACAAGGTCACACAGTTGACTGAAAAAAGGTCACAGGTCATTGAAACAAGGTCATACAATTAATTCACTGAAACAAGGTTACACATAAGGTACAGCAGGAGATGAGGTAGGGTGTAGGGCAGAGAACTATAAGAGCTAATCTCTAATCAAACAATTCTCTGTTCCCATGGGCCTGCCCAGTCCTGGTGGGTACCAAACTTGAAGTAACACTAAAGGCAGCTGGACATATTGCTGACCACACAATGTATTTATATGCAAGGCCAAAGAAACAGTTCAACTCTACTTTATCTATTCTGTCAGGTCTGAGTAGGGACTTCAGTTTGTTCTTTTAATTAATACAGTACTATATAAAAAAAAAAAAAAACCAACCAAAAAAGGCACATGGGAAATGTTGGGGAAAGCTTGGTGTACAATCTCAGCAGGGGGTGGGGGGTAGAACAGCTGTAGCCCAGCTTGCTCAGACTAGTGGTTGAAAACTGTCCCTGAGTCCACCCAGCTTTAATGGGTACCTAGTGGTAGCTGGAGAAAGCTGCTGGACATTGAACAAGGCCATAATACCCCATTAAAGGCCTTGACCACATAAACAGACCAACTCTACTTCATTCTTTACAACGGCTCATAAAACTGAACTATTTGTCTGGTGAAACAAACAAAATACTGAGTGATAAGTGGATGACTAAAACAAACAATTCCAAGTGTCAAGAAACAATGAAACAGAAATAGCACCAGCCTTACCAGGTTTCTGTGTGTAGGTTGGAATCAAGCCACTGTTGCCACTCATCCTCTCTGTGTAGTCTTTAAAAAACAGGTAATGTCCCAGCAGTATAAAAACTAAAGCTATAACCACAGACAGCCAATCAGGTTTGTGCTCTGAGGGCGTGATCAAAATAGATTCTATTAACAGCGCCCATACGTAAAACAGCGAGATGAAGACGACGGTGTAAGATTTGAGAAGTTGTGTGGTGATGTAGAGCAGGGCAGCAGACAAGGCACAGGTGAGGATGGAGCACAGCATGGGGATCTGGAGCACCTCGGAGATCTGGAAATACAGGATTAGAACCACAAACATGGCCGCGATCAGACTTGTGAAGATGGTCCTGGTGTCTCGAGGTTTGACGGTGGCGTGCTCCATGCTGATGAGCTGTCTCAGCATGATGTTGCGGAGGATGAGTGCGAAGGCGGACAGCCCGCAGATGAGGGAGGTGCGGTCTGAGCTGAAGACGGTGGAGGGGTTGATGGACATGAAGGTCAGGCCGAAGCCCACAGCGATGGTGCTGGTCCAGGCTACGGGGCGGGGAATGACGGAGGTGACTAGCCAGAGCGTGACTACAGCGATGAAGGGTTGGAAGAACGCCGTGGACAGCGACGTCTCAGCGCTGCCTAGACTGCGCAGGTAGTCGTGGAGGAACACGTTCCCGGCGTGGCAGAACAGGATCACGACCAGCGCCTCCTTGTTGGGGAGGTCACCGCGGGAGGTTTCTATATTTAGAAAGGCGGCAGCGGCTAAAATTTGTCCAACCGTGACGAGTGCAGTGAAGGCGAGCAGCACAGAGTCGTTGCTGTCGTTGTAGGCTAGACGCAGCAGGGCGGACTGCTCGCGTGAGCTGGCGTTGAGGGCGAGGGTGAGCAGCAGGAACAGCCCCACCATCAGGGTGGACCTCCATGACCGGTTCTCGTGGTGTCTGAAACAAAAACAAAATTCAAGTTCAAAACTTGACACAAAAATACACGTTTCAAAAACTTGACACAATACTTGACACAAAGCTAAAAAGTACCAAAAACTGAGCATCAAAAGAAATGTAACAAAAACAGTCCGAACTAAAAATGCAATCTTTAAAATATTTGTAGAGAGCACGCTTACTAACACAAAAGTTTCGTATTCGTTTGAGGCCTCTAGTCCTGAGTTCACCCAGCTCTAATCAGTACCCGACAAATTAAAAAAGGGGCTAATGGTAACCACAACATCTGATCATATTCCAAGGTCAAAGAAACAGGTAGATTCTATTCCCTTCTCCCAGGGAGAATGTCTGATTTGAAAAGGTACTTTTTTCTGTTTAGTTTAGATAGGGAATGTCTCATTTGAAAAGGTACTTTTTCTGTTTAGTTTAGATAGGGAATGTCTCATTTGAAAAGGTACTTTTTCTGTTTAGTTTAGATAGGGAATGTCTCATTTGAAAAGGTACTTTTTCTGTTTAGTTTAGATAGGGAATGTCTCATTTGAAAAGGTACTTTTTCTGTTTAGTTTAGATAGGGAATGTCTCATTTGAAAAGGTACTTTTTCTGTTTAGTTTAGATAGGGAATGTCTCATTTGAAAAGGTACTTTTTCTGTTTAGTTTAGATAGGGAATGTCTCATTTGAAAAGGTACTTTTTCTGTTTAGTTTAGACAGGGAATGTCTTATTTGAAAAGGTACTTTTTCTGTTTAGTTTAGACAGGGAATGTCTTATTTGAAAAGGTACTTTTTCTGTTTAGTTTAGACAGGGAATGTCTGATTTGAAAAGGTACTTTTTTTCTGTTTAGTTTAGATAGGGAATGTCTGATTTGAAAAAGAACTTTTTCAACGTTTGGTTTAGATAGGCAGCTTGTATTAACATAAAGACCTAATCCTAACGTTTTCAATCGGTGTACTAACTAACCTTAATCATAAACTTAACCCTAAACCAACCATAATGACAAACCTAGCCCTAAACTAACCATGGGGTGTGGCATGTCAAAACAAAAAGTACCCTTATATTTCTAGTGACCAGAAAATGTCACAACAACAAAGTCATCTATAATGGCCAGCGCCCTCACTCTTTAAGTAATAATAGTGATCAGCATACTTCTGTGAGGGGTCTAGGACATTACCCCCCCCCCCACCAGGTCATTACCCTTTGTCAACTGCCCCTCTCCACAAAACAAATGCAGTAAGACATTACCCCCCCTATCCATTACTGACTCTAAACCAGGGGGTAATATCCTTATCACATCTGAACAGTATTTCTTCCAGACTTTTTTCTCCAGGATGCACTTGAAAATTTCGGGGGGGGGGGGGGGGGGAGGGGGGGGGGGAGGACAACAATTTCGGGGGGTTGGGGCGGTGACACTGTCAAAAGTATATATTTTTTATATAAATTCCATTTCGTTCGGGGAGGGGGGCGGTAGACTTTCTTCCATACAACTGCCAGCACAACACGGTCAGCATAAACGGGGTCAGCCCAACAAACACGTTGATCAAGGTAGCAGACGATAATTCGGTCAGACCAAAACACGGCTGTTGTTCTGCTGGTTATTTACCTTTTTTATTATGGCCGCCGTGATCAAGTTCAAGGACGCCCAATTTATTTAAGGACTACACCGTAGTTTATCACTTGCGATACACCGTCCTCATGTGATTTATTAAGTGCTAGTAAGTTGTTGTTTTTATCACGACAATAGCCATGTAACTTTGATTTATTATATGCTTATGAGTTGTTTTTTTATCTGAAAATATGCTGTATAATTTTGATTTATTATGTAGATCTAGTAGGACGTTTTTAGCACCAACAATATGCCGTATATTTATTTATTACCAGTGTTTCTTCCAGACGTTTTTCTCCGGGGGGGGCACTTGAAATCTTCGGGGGGGCGGTAAACTTTCTTCGGGGGGGCGGACACTGTTAAAAGTATATATTTTCTATATAAATTATATAAATTTCATTTCGTTCGGGGGGGCGGTAAAAATTTTTCGGGGGGGCTTCGCCCCCCCGAAGAGATGCCTGGAAGAAACTCTGTTTATTACGTAATAGCAAGTTTTTAGCACCTAGAACTTTCGTGAATTTTTCTATCCGCGGCATATATCAGCTGTAAGGATATGTAATGTATTATGTAGTCCTACTACATGCGGTAGAGTAATACGAGATACCCTGGTAATCCATTCTCCACTTTACCAGATGGGTTCATTTCTGCTGCATGATTTAGACGGGGATTGTTGTGTGTGTGTGTTGTAAGCACGTACCGTAGCAGCATCGCCAGACTTAGGGGCCTAGAGTTACATAGCTGTACATGTGATAGAAAGCACATGACAGTAGGGTTATGTGAAGCAGGATGTTGAGAGACATACAAAAGTCAACTAGAGACATACTTGTATGATGCCCCCACACCAGAGACGAATTATGTAAATTAGAGAGGGGGTGAATTAGGGAAGTATGCTAGTCAGGGTTCCTTTAAGAAAAAAAATTTCAGGGTGTGGTGGCTACTGAAACTGAAGGGAAGTGTGTGTGTGTGGGGGGGGGGGGGAGACACATGTTCTCTCTATAATTTTTTTCTTTCCTTTTTAATTCAATAGAATCTAACTAGTAATGCGGCAATGTTGGATTAACTGCGTAAAGTACATCAAGAGATCATCATAGATCGATTATCTTTAAATTTTGTATTTATTTGCCTAAACACATTTTAAAACATGTTTTTTAGACGCAGTAGCAAACCCGTAAGGAATAAACTGTATAAATTATTAATAATGTATACACACTGTTTGAGTCTGTTTTAAAAGAACGATTATAGACCTACTTTATGTGGACGTTCACAACCGATGCGGGGAAGGGGGATTTTGGGGAGTTATAAAATTAAGAACCCAAATGATGTATAATATAAATTACCTTTGTAATCATTTAAGAGGGTATTTTAAAGTTTAATTCGTGAAAACGCGTAGCGGCATGATTAAAAGTTACAAATCAGATAATCGAATGTAAGTTCTTATCAATTATCTATACTCAAAATTAGTATGCCGAGGTCACAGAAACAGGTTAACTCTACTCCACTTGCCCCATGGACCGTCAAGTTTGTAACGGGAACTTTACAAACATTAATACCGAGGGTATAACCAATAGTTAAACTTAAAACCCTAGATTTAAGATCAGGGTACCTGTTGTGTTACGGCCTAAACGTCGTTGTGTCATCACCATTGGTATTAGATACGTTATCTACGTAGATACCACTAATACCAGGCAGTGATGTACCGACCACCGGTGCAGTCCACTAGAACAGCCCACCGGCACAGGCGTAGCGACCCCTCTCAGCGCCCGGGGACAAACTTTCAATTTGGCGCCCCCCCCCCCCTATATTTTTATGTTTATAATTTAAACCTGCAGCTAAAATGAACTTTTAATTGTTTTTTTTCAAACCCATTTTGGCGCCCCTAGGGTCGGCGCCCGGGAACATATGTACCCACCCGCCCCCTTCGCTACGCCTCTGCCCACTTGTACAGTCCACTAGAACAGCCCACAGTCTGCACTAACTGGCCGAGCGCTAGACAGACATACACTCTCGTGTTGAGTGCCGTAACTCCCGGCCCTGAGGATTAAGATTCTCTGTTGCCCCAGCTGGCGGGATTATACCTGATCCTCTCTAAGTGCGGCTTAAAGATGGCTGGTGCTCTGGCAATCAGTAGCGAGACAACGGGCAGAGTTTGTGTAATAAGCTAGTGCCGCTAACAGTGGTGTGGGGTGGACTTTTTCAGGGAGGGGGGGGAACAAAGTTGCCCCACACACATATTATAAATAAATAAATATAAATAAATATATACATACATCTACATATATATGTACATATGTATATATACAAGTACATATATCTATATATGTCTTTATATATATATATATACATATATATACAAATATATGTACATATGTATATATACAAGCATCTATATATATATATTTGTATATCTATATATACATACATATTTATTTATACATATGTATACATATATCTATGCGCGCATTGGCCAGCCAATGCGGCATTGGCCAACTTCGGGCTTTGACCGTAACATATACATAAATAAATACATAAATATATTTTCTATATATATTATATATATATATATATATATGTACATATGTAAGTTTATATATATATATATATATATATATATATATATATATATATATATATATATATATATATATATATATATATATATATATATATATATAATTCACTGCACGTGTGACATAACAAAAATGTTCCAACACCAACCAGCAACAACACAATCAACTTGCCACTTACTCTTCTGTCATCGCCAGGAGAAGCGCCCTCATGACCTCTGACCTTTATCTGGAGAGCAAATAAACAAAATCAATCAACAACTTGAACTGCTTTTTTCGGGCGATCGATTCTTTTTCAAAAACCAATCACCGTATATCACTTATCGACGACAACAGAAAACCGCACAAATACTGAAGAAAAATCATCGCATAAAAAGAGTTATAAATAGCCTTTTAATAGAAGAAATATAAAAATTCTATAATCTATGATAAGAATATTTAAAAAAAAAAAAAATTTCTGTCAGCCATAAAACACTGTTTGAACTGTAATGCTTTTACACGCTCGGTTTAAATAAACAGTTTCCCAACCCATTTGGTAACATACTTTTTAAATGTGTAATTATTGTTGCACACGCTGCAAAGTATTGATTGGGAAATCTGAAAGTGGTGGGGTGACGCGTCAGATGACGTCACGCTGACGGACGCTGTGAGAGGCTCAAGTTTGAATGGTTTCCTTGACAGGAGAGTTACGTGGGTTTAGATACGGGGAATCACCTTATCAGGGTCCGCTAGAAATGTGGTACAGAGGCTTTATGGCTAGACCGCAAAACGATTGCAAAAGTTGTATAAATGATACAGTTGGGGAGTGTTTGTTTTGGTTTAGAAAGAATAGAATAGAATTATCCCTGAACTCTACGCATACCATTAAACTTGTGGTACTACTGTAATGAAGGAGTGACCAGAGGCGTAGCGACCCTTCCCGGCGCCCGGGGACAAACTTTCGATTTGCATACCCCCCCCCTCTAACTTTCAATTTGTTTTTCCAACCCATTTTGGCGCCCCTCCTAAGGTCGGCGCCCGGGGACATATGTCCTCCCGCCCCCCCCCCCCCTCGCTACGCCTCTGGGAGTGACGCAGATGGAGAAGAGTCCATATGTTCTTGGCCTCTTCACATAAGGGATAATGTGGTCAGCACTGTGTCCAGCCGCCTTTTCTCCCGATAGTTAGTTACCCATCAGAGCTGGATGTTTATTATAGGCATCACACCATCATATCAGTATTCACATAACGATAGATCAATGTGTGTGGGCATCATGTGGCTGTGTGTGGGCATCATGTGGCTGTGTGTGGGCATCATGTGGCTGTGTGAGTTCAGAGCACCACTCAACAAGATGTCAAGTACAGCATTGTTTGTTTATCATATGCATCACACCTTCATAACATAAGCTCACGGTATGATCAATGTGTGTGTGTACATCATAAAATAGCGTGAGTTCAGAGTACCACTCAACAAGATGCCAGGTACAGCATTGTTTGAGCAGGAAGGAGAGCGGTGTGTGTGTGTGTGTGTATCTGTGTGTGCCTAAGAAGCGGCACATACAATATCAAATTGGTATTGTAATGTAAGTATATCAACAAACTCTCATGAGTTACAACACAACTGATAGAACTGGGGATCTGCCAGTTGTATATAGAGAACGATTTAACAACATAACTCAATACAGTTTCATAACGATATAGGCGGCAATCACTTGACAGGATCGCTAATGTGGTTTGATTCTTCTTTTACTGCACTTTTCTTAATGACGCAGCCACTTAGTAAACGTCGTCTGCAGTCTAGACTCGAATACACGTGCAGACGAGACTACTATATGTATGTGGGTGTGGGCGTGTATGGTATAAATTCGACATAGGTTGAAGCTAAGAGAGAGATAAATAAAGGGGAGAGCAAATGTAAACAGGAGAAACAGATTGACCAGATGATAAAAGAAATCCTATTGATCTGTTTGTCTAGCGCCCACAGAGTAAAGGGGGGGGGGGTCGACTTGAAGAAAGTTTCATCAGTTAACTAACATCCGTTCTTGTGTTTAACTACATAAATAAATGGTTATGTACAGAGGTTTGAGGAGGTCAGTCAGTGGTTTAGACTTGTGCCAGGGTATGTCCCAGTTATGTAGGAGGTCAGTACGTGGTCAGTACGTGCTAGGGTATGTCCCAGTTATGTAGGAGGTCAGTACGTGGTTTAGACCTTTGTGTTAGGGTACGTCCCAGAGGTCTGTAAGAAGTCAGTACGTGGTTTAGACTTGTGCTAGGGTATGTCCCAGTTATGTAGGAGGTCAGTCAGTGGTTTAGACCATGTGGTAGGGTATGTCCCAGAGATTTAAAGAAGTGCTTTAGACCTTGTGGTCGATACGTCCCAGTGATGTTGGAGGTCAGTACGTGGTTTAGTCCTTGTGCTAGGGTATGTCCCAGTTATGTAGGAGGTCAGTACGTGGTTTAGACTTTGTGCTAGGGTATGTCCCAGTTATGTAGGAGATCAGTACGTGGTTTAGACCTAGTGCTAGGGTATGTCCCAGTTATGTAGGAGGTCAGTACGTGGTTTAGTCCTTGTGCTAGGGTATGTCCCAGTTATGTAGGAGGTCAGTACGTGGTTTAGACCTGGTGCTAGGGTATGTCCCAGTTATGTAGGAGGTCAGTACGTGGTTTAGACCTAGTGCTAGGGTATGTCCCAGTCATGTAGGTCAGTACGTGGTTTAGACCTAGTGCTAGGGTATGTCCCAGTTATGTAGGAGCTCAGTACGTGGTTTAGACCTAGTGCTAGGGTATGTCCCAGTTATGTAGGAGGTCAGTACGTGGTTTAGACCTAGTGCTAGGGTATGTCCCAGTTATGTAGGAGGTCAGTACGTGGTCAGTACGTGGTTTAGACTTTGTGCTAGGGTATGTACCAGTTATGTAGGAGGTCAGTACGTGGTCAGTACGTGCTAGGGTACGTCCCAGTTATGTAGGAGGTCAGTCAGTGGTTTAGACTTGTGCCAGGGTATGTCCCAGTTATGTAGGAGGTCAGTACGTGGTCAGTACGTGCTAGGGTATGTCCCAGTTATGTAGGAGGTCAGTACGTGGTTTAGACCTTGTGCTAGGGTATGTCCCAGTTATGTAGGAGGTCAGTACGTGGTTTAGACTTTGTGCTAGGGTATGTACCAGTTATGTAGGAGGTCAGTACGTGGTTTAGACTTTGTGCTAGGGTATGTCCCAGTTATGTAGGAGGTCAGTACGTGGTCAGTACGTGCTAGGGTATGTCCCAGTTATGTAGGAGGTCAGTACGTGGTTTAGACCTAGTGCTAGGGTATGTCCCAGTCATGTAGGTCAGTACGTGGTTTAGACTTGTGCTAGGGTATGTACCAGTTATGTAGGAGGTCAGTACGTGGTTTAGACTTGTGCTAGGGTATGTACCAGTTATGTAGGAGGTCAGTACGTGGTTTAGACTTGTGCTAGGGTATGTCCCAGTCATGTAGGTCAGTACGTGGTTTAGACTTGTGCTAGGGTATGTCCCAGTTATGTAGGAGGTCAGTACGTGGTTTAGACCTAGTGCTAGGGTATGTCCCAGTCATGTAGGTCAGTACGTGGTTTAGACCTAGTGCTAGGGTATGTCCCAGTTATGTAGGAGGTCAGTGCGTGGTTTAGACTTGTGCTAGGGTATGTCCCAGTTATGTAGGAGGTCAGTACGTGGTTTAGACTTGTGCTAGGATACGTCCCAGTGGTCTGTGAGAAGTCAGAAAGTAGTTTAGTCCTTCTCTTAACACCCAGCTGTAGTGAGATTACGGCATGATTACAAGCCCCTGGTCGCGGTCTGGCATCGTGTTTTAGTACCAGGAAGTGTCCGGGGACCAGAGGTACACACCTCTAGCAGTACTCACGCTAAACTCGTTTAATTTGTTCTATGACACTTCACGCACCAAGAACACCATTAGCGTTAGATATAAAGTTTCAGGAACAGTAGGCGCTACGTGCTCACCAAATGCATGGGGAAAGGCGAGACAATGGCATAGAGACAGATTGGATAGGTATTCATGTGAAACATATACACAGTATTGAGGCATTTGGATCTACAGTTGGTTCTAATATAATACTACACTGTAATACAAACCAACTCTAGGTACCCGGCACTTAGAAATCCACAACACTCACATAGAAGCCTAATAATCACAAAACACACACACACACACATAAGACCAATACATACTAAGCCCCATCCGACACACACGCGCAAACAGAAGTCTAACACACACAGAATCCAACTCCCACAGACACAAGAGCAACACACATAGGGTTGCCAGATACCTTTTCTGAAAATACTGGACACCTTTCCATCCTTCCCTTCTCAGGTATGCCGCAAAGCAGAAGAAGGGGGTTAACAGAGTATTATTCATATACTTGTCCAGTATTTATATTTATTTTATCCTGGACAGTCTGCTCAAATACTGGACTGTCCAGTTCAAAACTGGACACCTGGCAACCCTAAACACACATAATCCTTAGATCTACCTTTAATTCAAACACAGTAAATACACCACACGTCAAATACCATTAGTGAAATCGTTTTCAGTATTTATCCTAGTACACAGAACTTGAACATAACTTAGATCTAGTAACAAAGTCTTCGTTGACAAAAATATGTTGCTTATTTAAATTAAAGTTGACCCCTGACCACCACTCTGCCTGACGACGCCAACACAACGAACACCCAACTACTTCAACTTCCACAGCAAGCGACTACAGAAACTGTACAAAAAGAAAAGGGCTAAAAACTTCCAAGGATTTGCTATACATGAGTCTGGATGATTTTTCTTTCAAGAAGTGATATCACAGACATACAGCACTGAATACTCTTTTTTTTTTTCACATTATTCTCCAGCAGTTTTCTCCCCTTCATCGTCAACTTTTATTTTTCCTGCTCAGATTTCGTTTTCTCTGATAAAAAAAATGTTTCCATCGTGCTTAAAAAAACATTCCTTCACAAATAATTGACGTTCTATCAACAGACAGACGAACGCGGTGTAGTGAGGTCAATTATGTGGTGGTGAAGTTATGGTACGACAGATGTAGGGTAGTACACATATACATCAGTGTACATACATTGCGATGGTACAACAGTGGTAGGGTAATACATCAACATAAGTGTACAACATCGTGATCGCACAACTGTAGTAGGGTTGTACATCAGTGTACACATATTGATGGTAAAACAGTTTTAATTTAAGGTAATACATCAACATGTGTACACACATGATG